AAGGCAAATATCAATCAATAATCCAGTGAGTAGATATAAAACGTGGAGGGAGAAACGGCTAGAGGTCCGCATTCTAAATGAGAAAAACAATAGTGACAGTGGGTAGCAGTGGTGGTCCGAAACAAAGACATTAATCAATGGGAACTGTGAAGAGGTGGATACATTCAGCGCTTTCGAAATGGAGAGGTCTACTTCGATCAGCTGCTATATGCTGAACGTGGTTTAAAGATAATAAACAAGGTCATGAAAAAGAGTCGACTAACTCTGCCCTTGAAGCATTAGTACAATTTAAGTTTATCCACCCCCGAAAATTAAAACAATCGAAATGTGTTTTTCTTGCCACTCTTAAGAATCTTTAGGAATTTCCCGGAACACCTCACCCTCCTGGATTTTTGCGTTATCGTAGTTTTTTGTATATAGTGTATACAGTATCTAGTTTTCTAACAGCGTTTCGTACCGTTGGCCACAAGAGTGTTTTGCCTGGAGGTTATGGACTGATAAGCTGTGCTACTGATGTTTCTCAAAGTTTCGCTCGGAAAAGTTACTCATAAATATGAAGTTGTTATCGAGCCAACTAGAATTTATAAAGCCTCGAAAGCTTGAAGGATCCACGAGCAAATGTCACCAGGGGTCAAAGACTCTTTGCATTCAATCTCTACACGAACACATAGTTATATATGCCTTTAGTCTTTCAAACAGCTACTAGCAATGACTCGGTTACACCTGTGCTGCCACAACGAGTATCCATCGAAGAAAAGTCGTAGTATTCTAAATTGCGGTATTACTTCGGAAAGTCGATACGTTAGAAAAAAAAATCGATAATGGTCGTTGACATATCGATTTGTCTACTTCTGAGTGAGTGAGAAATTTGCATATTCTGAGCCCCAACGAAAGTCGTTTCTACGCTTCGCGTATGCACGACTGAAAACGAGTTCGGTCACCTCCATTTTTATTATAGAATTTTGATCAGCAGGATAAGACACAACTTTTGGCAAAGGTTAACGTCTGTACATGATGTGGTTCCGAGCCACCTTAATTTTTCGAAATTTTATACCCGGCCAGTCCTTTAAAAAGGCGAATCCAACTTCAAAGCAAATCTTGTCATTACCATTTTGTTTTATGGCGCCAATTCACTAATTGCTCAGGGTGCTTCACAATTAATAAAAAGGAGTAAAACATAGTTGAACAAACTTAAAAATTAAAAATAGCCTATATTTAAAAATAAATTTTTTATGTCTGAAGAAAAATTAAAAGAAAGGTATGTTAAAAATCTCTAACCAAGAACTCTTGCGAAACACCAGGCTGAACCAGGAGCCATAATCGGGGACGGAGACCGAA